CATTGCTCGATGACGTTAACCTATATGGAAGAGGTCAAGAGAATCCACCAAGAATGTATGACCTATCTGAGATTATATGTCCGAGCATTGCTCGACGATATTAATCTATATGAAAGAGGTCGAGAGAATCCACCAATAATAAATGACCTATCAGAGGTTATATATCATAGTATTGTTTAATGATGTTAACCTATGTCGAAGAGGTCTAAATAATTCACCAAGGATGTATGACCTATACGAGGTTATATTTCAGGGCATTGCTTGATGATGTGAACCTATCTATATAAAGGAGGTCGAAAGAATCCACCAAAGATGTATGACCTATCTGAGGTTGTATATCAGAGCATTACTCAATGAAATTAACCTATATAGAAGAGGTCAAGAGAATCCATCAATAAAATATAATTTATTTGAGGTTTTATATCAGAGCATTACTCTATGATGTTAACCTATATAGAAGAGGTTGAGAGAATCCACTAAGAATAAATGACCTATCTAAGATTGTATATCAAAGTACTACTTGATGATGTTACCTATATGGAAGAGGATGAAAAAATCCACCAAAAAAATATAACCTATCTGAGGTTATATGTTAGAGTATTATTTGATTATATTAACATATATAAAAGAGGTCGAGAGAATCCACCAATGATGTATGACCTGTCCTAGGTTATATGTTAGAGCACTACTCAATGACGTTAACCTATATGAAAGAGGTCGAATTGAATCCCCCTTGGATCGATCATCCGGTGATTGAGACACATTAAAGATTACATATTTCTTGAATCATAGATTTTAAGATTTGATTCACATCCTCCTAGGATGTTTGACCTATCTAAAGTTGTATGTTAGAGTGTTGCTCGATATTGTAAGTATAAAGCTTGAAATTTATTTGAAGCATCATTGCATTAGCTATAAACTTTATGATATGAAGATATCATCATGGATATTAGAGGAATCTTCTTAACCACAGCTATAGTCAAATTTACCTCCAATCCATATTTAATTCCCATGAAATTGATGCAATAATAGCTAATATCAAGATGTTAACATAAATGACCTTTTGAGGTTGGAGCAAAAATTATCCCTAGTCGGGAATCACGTTCCCACAAACGGTGCCAAACTAGAATACTCAAAGGTGTAGATAAATATAAAGTTTAGCATCTTAAATTTGCATGAAGATCTAGTACACATTCAGATAAAAAGAGAGGGTGTAGTATTTAAAGAGATACCAATATTTTTATGTGGAAACCCTAAAAAAGGGGGTAAAACCTGGGGCCTAGCCTAGTTTGATGGAATCCACTAATATTTGCAGTCAATTACAAATGAGGCCCTTCCTTGGGAGAATGCTTTAGCTTGATGTAAAAAATATACATCATATAGAGTGCATTACATGGTATAAATTAGAAGAATAATTATTAATATGTTCATTTAGTCAGCAGTATCATAGTCGCTAGATGACGGAGGTCAGAAAGATCATAGTCGGGTGATAGTGGTCAATGGGACTGTAATTTGCAGGCAATAGTAGTCAGAAGGACTATTATCTGGTGATGGAGGATGGAAGAATCATAATCAACGGACGACAGAGATTAAAAGGACCATAATCTTGTGACATATGTAGGAAGGACCGTAGTTGGGAGACAAAGGTCAGAAGTACTATTTTTCGATGGGCGACGAATGTTAGAAAGACTGTAGTCGGCAGGTAATGTAGGTCGGAAGGACCATAATCTGGAGATGGAGTTTGGAAGGACCATAGTCGATGGGTGATGGAGGTCAAAAGGACCATTATCGGTGGGCGACGGATGTTAGAAAGATCATAGTCGGCAAGTGACAAAGGTCGGAAGGACCATAATCTATCGACGGTGGTCGGAAGGACAATATCCGAGGGGTGGCGGAGGCGAGAAGTACCATAATCGGCATGTCACAAAGGTCCGAAGGACCATAATATGACATGAAGATCGAAAGGATCGTAATTGTGAGACAGAGGTCAGAAGGACTGTAATATGGAGATAAAATCGAAAGGACCAGTGTTGGTGGGCGGTAGAGGTCGGAAAGACCATAATCTGTAGGTGACGGAGGTCGGAAGGGCCACAATCTCGCGACGAAGGTCGGAAGGATCGTAGTTTTCCGAGTGTAAGTCCGACATCAATCGGTGGTCTGGCAGAAATCCGGACGTCGGGTGGTGGTCCGACAGAAGTCCAGGCAGTTGTCGAGGAGAAGCTAGGTGGCAAGAGCGATCTTTGATCTTTTTCTTGCTTCCTTGCTTGAATGTCTTAATGATATCAGAATTTGACGATCTTAAGCTCATTGGATTTGTCTCATCGATCCGCTCAATTAGACTATAAGCATGTCATGTTTAGAAACTGTTTAGTAATCCAAATTATGGTTTGAACCTTTCAAATATGCTCAGGGTCTTTGATTTGGACCCATTTGGGCTCGGATTGAGTCGAATTCGGTGTCGTTGGATTCATATTTTAGAGACGATAAGTTCGTCTATAAATTTGCTGAAATCACAATTCACAAGGCTCCAAATTTAATTTTTGAAGTTTCTAAGTTGATTTTGCCTCGAGATTTGTGCCCAATCAAGATATTTTTTTTATGATATATTAGTACTAAAATCAGCTTTATAAAAGAGTATAAAAGTTATCTCAGACGAAATCTTAATAGGATACAATGGAGAAAAAAGATTCATGTAACCAACCCCACATAGTGGGATAAATGCTTGATGTTATTATGGTTGTTGTTAAACCCGACCTAATTAGGTCGGCTAAGTGGGTAAACCAATCAAGGATGGCACAGGCTCACTCAATTTAGGTTTGTTAGCATGACATGTTAGTTAAAACGGGTGATTCTCCTCTTTCAGATCATGTGATATATTGACTAAAATATATATGTATTTCAATTAGCAAATCAATCAAATGAGCTCTAAGGAAGTTTCAACGGCATGGTAACGAACTAATAGGCACATTAGCAATAATTCAAAAAATTAAGAACGAACGGGTATGAAAGGATTTAAAAGCAAGCAATTTTTGTTATATTTTTTAAATAATTCCGTTATGTTTAAGAACATTTTTGACAATAGAATTAGGTTTCATTTGGAATGACTTTTGTAATGCTTTTTGAAGTAATTTTTCAATATAAAATTTTAAATTTTTTTATTAAAAAGTTGCTTTAATAAGTAGTAAAAAGGAAGTCCCAAACGAAGCTCTAGTGTTTAATACCTTAGTTCTTGACAAAAATCTAGCATGTGGGGAAAAAGTTGTTAGTGACTAGCAATTTTTTTACATTAAAAGTCCTCAAAAGGTAAAAACCAATTGTAAAAATATACTATAAAGTAATAGATACAAAATCATCTCTTGCTCAGAATTAAAAAAGATGATAATATTTTGAGAACAATTAATTGATTCCTGTTATAGAGATTATAAATTTTAAGGAATTTTTACATACATAACACCTAAAATTATTAAAAACATATATTTAACACAAACTTCTATATTTACTAATATACCACCTAAAACCCCTTTTTACTTATATTTTACCACTCCATTGAAGCGATGAGATACTTGTATTTAGTGTGAAAGGATGCCATTGACAAGGAAGACAGCCGTTGATAGTGATTTTTGATGGAAGATTTAAATGGAATGTTAGAATTGATTAAAATAGGGGTCTTAGGTGGCATATTAGTAAATTTAGAAATTTAGATGGTAAATATGTATTTTCAATAGTCTTAGGTGTTATTTATGTAAAAATCCCAAAATTTAATTGTCCACATGCACATAATTAAAAACCCAACAACAATGTTAGATCTTGAAATGATTTTAGAGATGGTGGGCAGCAATTATTGGTGGTGTGGTCATCGACAGAAAAGGTAAGATGGTAATTTAGTTATCTCAACTTCTCTTTCTCTAGAGAAATAGATCATATTTAAAGTCTTTTGGAGATGAACATTTTGATAAATTTAACCAGAATTCAAAGCACTCAATTGTAATGTCTATATTAATCATTTTAATCATACATCATTTAGCAAATATTTTAATGACTTAAAGGTGTCAAAATTAAGTGATATTGGGCTTGTTAGATTTGTCTCATCGATCCATTTAATTTGATTATAAGCATGCTATATGAGCAACCCCTACCCGCCACGTCACTAAAGACGTGGACAGTTGGTGTTGATAAGACACCGCGGCGGTTGTATTTGTTTTTCTCCCACCACGCGCACTAAAGGCGTGCTTGGGGTTTTAAAAAGTATTTTTTTGAAAAGCAATTTTGATTTCCCCCCGCTCGGAGGTACTTATAAGCGTCCCCGCCTCGCCGTAGGTGCAGCACCGGGGTCCCATCCCACCACGCACACTAATGACGTGCTTGGTGCAGTTTTCCGGTTCGCCACGAACATTGAAGCAGGGTTTTGAGTTTAAAAAGATTCATACCTCCGCGGGGTTGTCGTGGTTGGCACGTGGATGGAGGGGTCACTCGCCTACCTCGCCGTGGTTTGTCGGTCCGACATGAATGCCGAGGAAGGAGAGAGGCACCTTCGTTCTCTTTTTTTGTTGAAATATCTTTTCATTTTGCTTTTCTTCCTCTTTTATTTTTTATACAAAGACACCTTCTCACACACACATATACATATAGTCAATAATAATACCTTTAACTATATTAAAATTCCAACAAAAATTAGCATAAGTGAATGGATAGAACTACACTTACTGTTTGCATTAAACCAGGTGAAATTAGGCTAAAGGGATATTGGAGTCTAGGTGGGTTTTTGTTTTGGTTTAAGTGGAATGTTGTTTGGCTTGTTGGGCCTTGGACCTAAAAGTGGGCTTTTATATTTGTGATAGCTAAGGAATTAGCTGGATGCAATTTTATAAGAAAGGGAGAGAGGCACTTAGTAGGCCTGCTGCTTGAGGAAATCGGGTAGAGGAAGACAGCGGCTAAAATGGGAGGTAAGGTAAATCCCTCTCTCTCTCTCTCTCTCTCTCTCTCTCTCTCTCTCTAAGCCGGAGAAACAAGGGATCGATCAAGTCTAGGGCTCGGTTTGGCTAAGGCTTTCGGTAGAGAGGAGAACAGGCGATGGCTTGGAGACTTCGGTCGTGGCTCTGGAGGTCGAAACTTGACGGGATCCAGGCACTGGCCTGAGATCGGCAGTGGGAGAGGAAGGAGGTCGCGGGATGAGAGGCTTCGGCAGAGAACTTTCGCGTGTGTGGAGTGCTGTCCCGAAGGCTTCCTTCGTTCGGTATTTAACTATGAGAACGGTCGTGGATCCACCGGTCTCTCTGTCTTTGGTTTCTTTTACAGAGGTCAACAATAGTCATGCGTATTATTGACATCCCTGTTGATGCTTTGCTTTGATATGTGACATTTTTTCCATTGCTTTTTAGATATACTTAATTACGCATCTCAACACTTCAGCCCTTGCTTTTCATGTTGGATGCTTGCACCTCCAAAGTTTATTTTGTCCAATCCTATCTATAATGATATTCCCTATATGCAAAGAGTCACTAAAAAATTTTCCGTAGATTTTCTTATTTTTGCACAATTATATTTTAGCAAAGTCTCTTGTATAAATTATATTTATGTGATCTTTCGTTCGTATTTTATCACAGAAAGAAATAGATGTAAAAAATCAACTTTGGAGACCATCTCACATTGCACCTGCTCTTATATTAAAAGCATATAGTAAATTGCAAATTTGCATAACATTCACTACGATATGCATTATGCATTTCAGTTTCAAGGACGGAAACCTCATGAACTTTACTATCTGTATCAAAACATATATGTACTCTACAATTTGTTTTGCACTTTAAAGGTGCCTAGTATATTTTTAGTGCTTTTCCTTGAAGCTTTGAATGCTCGGCTGCTTTTTTGCAAACTTGCATTTGATTGGTTTCTTAAAATAGTCTCATCTGATGAAAATACGAGGCACTATAAACTAATGCATTGATACGTATATGACAATATCAACTTGTGATATGGTAAGAGGTATATATATATATGTGTGTGTGTATACTTGAAAATTGATTTGCAGATTTCCAAACTATTTTTTGGTTTGCATGTAGGAGCCTTACCCTTCGTTTAAAAACATTCTTCTTCTCGACTCCGAGGGGAAGCGTGTTGCTGTTAAGTACTATGCTGATGATTGGCCCACTCAAGCTGCAAAGCTAGCATTTGAGAAATCTGTTTTCACCAAGACTCAAAAGACAAATGCTCGAACTGAAGGTGAATACTTGCTATATTAACAATTATATTTTTTTATACATTTTCAGGCACATGTTTATTCTTCCGCTTGATCATGTTCAACTGTATTTGCTCAGCCCAATGTACAGCTATATCAATTGAGTCATATAGAAGATTAGATACTTATTACAAATTGCTTAGTGTACATTGTGTTTGTTTTATAAGATAGGAGTGTGGTAGTGTTTTTAATTGTTTCCTGAAAATCTTTAACATCTGCGCAAGCTTCCTTCTTAGTTTTTTTCAACCCAACAATAGTTCTCATGAGAAATAAGTCTCTAATCTTAGTATGTTTATTATTGGTCATGCTTCATACAGTGCATCTCAAATGGTACCCGACCGGAGAAAATATGCTTTTTAATTTGATGTTTTGTGTCAAACTATTTTTAGATTATAGCTTCATCTTTTAGCAAATTCTATTGCGATCTAAACCTTTTTGGGTTTAGGGCTAAGAAAGAGCTGAGATTTTGAGCTGATTTAGTCCTACCTTGAAATAAGCTCATGACTTGAATTAGTCCGATTTGTGTTGGTTTGACTTTAATCGGTTTTATTTCATGCCGTTTTGGATTTAATTATTTTAACTTATTTATTTAATTTTATATGCATTCTTATACCTATATCATGGTCTAAAGACTTGATAAAAATTGATATGTTTTATTTGTTTTTTTGTTTATAAAAACTTTTTTTTGGGGCCTTTGAGTCAATTAAATCAAGCTAACACACAACCCATGCACAAGTTTCGAACTCAAGACCACTTTGTTTGTAGTCAAAGCTCCCAACTAACAGAAAGATGAGTTGCGAATCCGAAACAACTTTTTTGGTCTTCTTTTGTTTCACCTGGTATTGACGTGTAATTGGTAGTTTAACCTTATTCAGGCAATTTCTGGTGACAATTATTAAGTAGCTCAGCCTGTTCTATCTGTGCTAGGGCTTGAGCTTAAAAATAATTTGAAATTGGTGCTAAAATTCCAAAAAATTGATTTGTGTCTCAGCTCTTTGATATTTTCCTGCTCATTCGGCTTGACTAGAGCCAAAAATTGATATAGTTTTGTGTTCATTAGCACATGAAAATGAATGGCAATATAGCTTTGTTAAACTTTTTTGCTCGTCTATAGCAGTTTCATTGTCCATGTTGGGAAGCATAAAACTAGCAAAGCTCTCAGCCTCCAACTTGCTGCTATGACGAAAATACTTGCATGATTCCACTCAAGCACAGATTTAATCAATCTTTCTTTTCAAGTCAAATTGCTTCTACATTAGAGTGATTATAAAATACAAACTAATAGAGTTAACCATGTGGAAGAGATTACAATTTTTTATAGCAATACCATTATTGTATTTGTGTTCTCCTGGTTTCTAAGCGAATTGCTGACACTTAAATGCATCTTGTTGCTTTTACCTTCCTTTATGAAGAATAACTTTTTAATCTTTTTCTGGGTTTCTGATGTTCACCTGATCTTTGCAGCTGAGATAGCTATGTTTGATGGCTACATTGTTGTGTACAAGTTTATTCAGGACCTCCATTTTTTTGTTACTGGTGGGGATAATGAGAATGAGCTTATATTATCAACTGTACTTCAGGGATTCTTTGACGCAGTCGGTCTTATTCTCAGGTCTTGAAAATTGTAGCATTTGAATGTTTTTTATGTTTGAAGCCATATAAAATCATCACTTGTATTAGAATTTGATGATTAATTGTCGGATGCTATCTCTTTTCAGGAACAATGTAGACAAGAGGACAGCACTTGAAAACCTGGATCTGATTCTTTTGTGCCTCGATGAAATTATTGATGGAGGGTATATATAGCTTTCTTTTGCTCCTTTCGCTATTCGTGAACAAACTTTAAGCTTTATTACTAATTATATTTCTTGTTGGTTGAAAGTCATTTGCTAAGAAATTCTTATTAAAATTGCAACTATAGCTGGTTTTTCAACTGATAGGAGATGAAGAAATTGAACTGCCAGGAAAAGAATTGTTATTTTAGTAGAATTTTCTTTGAACAGTAAATTCGTTGACTAAAATTTTATCAAATTGAAAAATAAATTGTATCCATTTATCGTAGGCATCATTTGTTTATTGTGTAATGCCATATTCCTTGGTGAATGCTTCAGATTATTCACAACTTAGTTGCTTTTTTTGGATCTCTTGGGCTTTCAGGATCATATTGGAAACCGAAGCTAGTGTCATTGCTGGGAAGACTACCTCAGATAGCCTTGATGGGATGTCTTCATTGTCCGAGCAGGTGTGTTAAAACTTCATCATCATATGATTATATTCACACCCCTCTTGCTTTGAAGAGAGAGAGAGAGATAGAGAGAGAGAGAGAGAGAGTTTATGTAGCGGTTTATCTAATTTTCCATTTTTCCTTTCTACAGACTATATCTCAAGCCCTTGCAACAGCACGAGAACACTTGGCAAGATCCCTTCTCAAATGATGAGATGAGACTGTCTCTTCCATTTGAGTTGATCCATGGATTGAGCAGCCTCTGAAGATTTCATTCGTCATATTTGTTTCTTTTGAACTATGTTAGGATTAAAGATGATTTTTTCGTGCAATGCTTTTAATATTACTTGTCTTTCCATCTTTTTAATGCATCTCATCTCCATTCTAAATGCCCAGATTGCCTAAATCTATCTTGCTAAGATTAAATAGCATACCATTGTTTGTCTTCATATATATTCTATTTTGTGATCTATATCTTCTTCAATTATGTGATTTTAGTCATTTTAATTGTTCACTTATTGATTTGTTAGCTTCAATACCAAAACTTTCTATTTACCTATCAATAATCAGCCTTGTAATTTTGAGTATCAATTCCAGTGTGCAGGAGGCAAAGATATTTGTTTAGTGTATAAGTTTAATGGTTTTAATTATCAATCTCTTAATGTTATCTAATACGCTCACAATGAGAGGTTGTAATGCTTAGGTAAAGACTTTTGAAATTTTTTGGAGGTTCTTTATTCGTTATTAGTCAATTAAAGCCTTAAAGGCACCTCTAGTATTATTCACGCTGTAGATGAGTCCCTTCTCTGATTTGGACTTCACCTTGCTGTGGACGGCAGCATGCAAACTTAAATTTGTGGCTTTCCTGCTCTGCACAGCAGCTATGTTGCTGCTTTCTGCACTTGGTTAATTACAGCAATCTGGAAAGTTCAGTAGCAACGGCAGAATAGCAGTGGAACAGCAGCAATGTTGGCAGCAGGGCCAATAGCCAGGCAGAAATAGGCAACATCACACAATGCAAGACAGAAGTAGAAGATAGAGAGCCAGGGCAGTAGCTGGTAGAAGGCAGCAGAAAGCCAGCAGATGCAGAGAACAGCAGGAGGGGTCTCCCAAAAGCAACAACTGCTTCTACAGGAAAATAAGGTGACCTAAGATTATGTCTATAGTACACTGAACCAAAAAAACCAAAAGCAGACGAAGAGAGGGACATTGAAAGATTCTTAGGGGAATTCTCTAGGTTCTCAGTTGAAATTCCTGCAGAAATTGAGAAATTTAACTAAAATAAGATCTAATCCTGTTTAATACAAACTCACAGAAATTCATAAAATAGGGAAATTGGAATTTTGTGAAGATTGCATCCTCGGTAAAAGCTGTTGGATTAACTTTTGAGCTACAGTTCATATAGAAGCTTGCAATGTCCCTGAAGATTGCATCCTTTAGTGCATCTTAGACTATATTTACAGAGCTTTATGGAAACCGTTAAGAGTTCAATTGAGAGGTGGTGCAAGGTATTTCATGTCTATTATAGTTGATTTTTCCAAAAGAGTGTAGGACTATTGTCTCAAAGCAAAAGACCAAGTTCTTAATCCCGTTAAAAACTAGAAAACTCTTATGAAAAATCAGGTATGAAGAAGAATAAAAAAGCTGCTAACAAATAATGAACTAGAATAACGTTCAATTTTATTTGACAAGTGCTGTGGAAAAAGAAATTTCTAAAACACAACAGTAAGGGATACCGGTTGCAAATTGGGCTGGCTGAACTGATGAACTGAACGTTTCTTGAAAGAGTGAAGCATGTTAACAAGTGCAAGTTTGAAGGAAATTTGGGCAGAAAGTTTGAAGATTGCAAGTTATTTGGTGAATAGTTGTACTTAAAACAGCTTTACAAAACAACCATGGAATATTGGACTTGTCATCCTCATGATTATGCAAATCTGTCAGCATTAAGATGTATAACAGATGCTCGTGTTAGACTAGATAAATTGTAACCACAAGCATTGAAATGTGCATTTCTTTGTTACCATGATGGTGTTAAATTGTTGTTCCATGTAGACCTCCCAATATTGGACCCAACCCGAAAACCCGACCCGAACCCGACCCGAAAATTTCGGGTTTGGGTTTACCCGAACCCGAAGCGGGTCGGGTTTGGGTTCAGAAAACTGACCCGTTTGAAAAATCGGGTCGGGTTCGGGTTCGGGTTGACCCGGAAACCCGGGAACAACCCGAAGTGACCCGAATGCACACAAATAAATGTCTGTCGGTCTACCCAGAGTGACCTGCCCGCTTCCCGGCTGCCCGGTAGTTGCGTCCCGAGGCTGCCTCGTCAGTCGTCACGTCGCTTCCATGCCATGTCTGCGGACATCTCGGGTCGCGTCCAACCGTCCACCGTCCACGCCATGTCCGCAGAGTCGCAGACCGCGGCAGTTCTGCGCCACGTTCAGCTTCCGACGTCCGGTGTCCGGCGGTTCCTCGTCCAGCGGTTCTGCGACAGTTTCGCGTCCGCGACAGTCTAGCTTTCGGCGTCCGCGGCTATTTCGCGTCCGGCATCAGGCTTATGCGGGTCGGGTCGGGTCGGGTTGACCCGAACCCGAAGCTGGTCGGGTTCGGGTCCAGAAAATTGACCCGTTTGAAAAAAACGGGTCGGGTCGACCCGAACCCGAATAGTACCGGGTCAATTTCGGGTTTACCCGAACCCGACCCGTAACCCGAAATTGACAGGTCTAGTTTCATGCGGTGAAAACATAATTGGAAAGTCATAGGTTTAGGTGGGGTCTGTGAATGAAAGTGATGAGGAGCTGATAGCTGTAATGCAGCATTCAACCAATCAAGAAGATGTCTTGCAGCCACCCGAAAAAAGGAAGACCAACAAGAATATAATCTCACGAGAGAAGGGACTAAGCATGCAATAAAACCTCCACAAAGATTTAGATTTGCAGACATTATAGCGTATGCATTTATGCGATGTTAGTTTCAGAAGAATGGGAACTAATAACTTATCATCAAACATTTAATTATGAAGACCTAGCTCATTGGCTACTCTCAATTAATGAGTAAACGAATTCATTGTATAATAACAATGCCTAGATTCTTGTTTACTACAAGTCAAACGTATCATAGGTTAATAGGTTGTAAATGAGTATTGAAGAGGAAAGATGAAAATCTTGGTATTGAAATGCCTCAATTTAAGACAAGATTGTTTGCCAAAGGCTTTAGATAAAAAAGAGGGATTAGATCTCAATCAAGTATATTGTTCATGCCGTTTAAAATTGCGCAATATGAGGCTCGCCTTTGCGCAATTCCAGTAAAAATCGCCTCGATGCTTATGCCTCGAGTTTTTTTTATGAGGCTTACGCCTCAACTTTGTGGAGGCCCACATTGAGGCCTACCTTGCCTCACTGGCATGAGGCTTACGGCTCACGCTATATATATTGAAACTTACATAAATCTTGAAGTAAATGTCCGACAATTGACTCTATAGGTGTGGAGGAAGGGGAGAGAGCAGTTCGTCATAATGATGATTCAAATGAAGAACCCATTAGTGATGACAATGCTGATGACTTATGAGTTCTTATGTGATATGTCATTGCTATTTATTTTTGGAAATTTGAATTATATGTTAATGAAAAGAATATTAGGATTTGGGAAAGATAGAGTTTTGAGTTGAACTATATTTCATGTTGTCTTATTATTGGGATATTTTGATTTCACTTCATATCTTATGATTTTTTATGTTTTATATTATTCGCTCATTATTATATAAAAAATTTATCATGTTATGTTTACGCAATCTTTTGATTTTGAGGCTTACACCTCAAAACGCCTTGAGGTTTATGCCTCGCCTCATGAATGAAAAACGCCTCAATACCCGAATAAGCAATTTTAAATATTTCGTGGTAAAACAAACATTCATTAGAATAATGGTATTCATCGTTGCTAAATTTGATTTATAGCTCGATCAAGTTTATGTTAAAACTGCCTTTCTATTTGGAGATGTGGAGGAGATATTCAACATCCTGAGAGTTTTGTGGAAAGAAATCAAAATCAAGTTTGTTTCTTGAAGTAATTCATTTATGGTCTTAAGCAGTCGTCTAGATAATGTTATATTGGGTTTGATCAGTTATGAAGCAAATTGGTTTCAAAAGGTGCAAGTTGGATAGCTGTGTCTACGTCATAAGATCAATTGAAGGTAATGTTTTGGTGTATGGTCTGCTCTATATTGATGACATATTGATGAAAACGAAAAACATTAATCTGTCATCTCAAGAATTAGTTGTGTCTGGAATTTGAGATGATGGATAGGGGCACAACTAGTAAAATTTTAATAATACAAAATTAGAGGAGAGAGAAAAATGTCCTACTCACAAAAGAAATAATTGGAAGAGGCAAGGTTGAAAAGCAAAATAGCTAGGCAGTAAAACCACTTTTGGCTTCTCATTTTAGCTTAACAACTGATACTGCACTGAGGAATTTCTATACGGATGAGGTTACTTACAACTTTTTCGGTAATTTAATGCATAGAATGATATGCACAAGGTTAGCCTATTCAATCGGTGTTAGCCATTCCATGGAAAATCTAGTATGAATGCATTGGCAAGCATTGAAATGGATTCTTAAATATGTTTCAGGGCTCATTAAATTTGGGTTACTTACAACTGTTTGTGGAGGCATTGTGAGTAAGAAATTACCCTTGCAACATATAGTGAAATTATCCATAACTAAAGTTGAGTTCATGCATTTATTGAAGCCATCAAGGAACGACTTTGGTTACAAGGTTTTATTGAGGAATAGGGTACTGGAAGATATTGGTTACAAGGTTTTATTGAGGAATAGGGTACAGGAAGATATTATAATATTCTGTTATAATGAAAATGCTGTACATTTTATGACGAATTAAATTTTTTAGGAGCATTCAAAATACATTGATATCAAATAACATTTCTTGAAGAGGTGTAATTACCGAAGGGACTATCAAAATAGCAAAGATTGATACATGCAATCGTACTAACATGTATTTATAGGGAGGGATAGATGCACGCAATATTACTATCCTGCATTAATAAAGACCTTTCCGTGATTTCAACTTCGGACATTTGGATTATAACTTTAGCCAATTCTCCAAGCACCCCCTAAAACAAAAGAATTTGAATTTGTAAATTCATCATTTAACAACAAAAGTGCAAATTTACGTGGTTTTTAAACTTCATCCAACTAAATGAGCATTTAGTAGAAACCAAATTCTGATTATCATTTTCCTTTCTAATATAATTTCTAAAATATTTTTTTTTTCTTGGTAACCTTATTGTGTTGCCGTGAGATAAATGAAATTTGTAAAGCTCAAGCTACAGTTAAAACTTGTATGCATTATTTTCTTGATTTTGACTTTATTGATGCTTGCTACCATCACAACATCATCATCAATTTCTGTCACTCTTTTTTTTCTTCATTTACAATCTGTGTGATCAGGGTTAAGATCGAATAAGAGCTTTGGTTTTGAAATCTTAGATTGGACTATTTGGTGCTACGTTACATTATTAGTGTAAACTGATTGCTTTCTTTGTAGGGGTTGGCAAGAGTTGTCTCCTTCTACAGTTCTCGGATGGCTCCTTCATTACTAGTTTCATTACCACAATTGGGTATGTTCTACAAGGATCTACTTTTTGATTGCTTTCTAATTTTAAATTTTCCCACCTTCAAGCAGTTTATTTACTTTCAACATTTCTGATTACTTTTGCATGTTTTTTTTTGTAGTATTGATTTTAAAATAAGAACTATTGAGCTTGATGACAAACGTATTAAATTACAAATTTGGGATACAGCCGGTCAGGAACGCTTTTTACAACTGGCATGCTTTCTATTTACTTCGGTGACCATTGAATGCGGCATGATCCCAACCCTTCCCTTGATATTTGGAGTTGCTAATAAATTTTTTTGTAACCTTCTTTTCAACTGTAGCTTACTATCGAGGGGCCATGGGCATTTTACTTGTTTATGATGTAATTGATGAGTCATCCTTCAATAGTAATAACCGCTATCTTATTCTACTAAGATTTTATTTAAGTTATACTTTTCAAATTCTTATTGTTCTAGTTTGTCAATATGCAGACATAAGAAACTGGATCAGGAATATTGAACAGCATGCATCTGATAATGTTAACAAGATTCTAGTTGGTAACAAAGCTGATATAGACGAAAGAAAAAGGGTACTATTTCCCCTCATGACTAACCCCGCACCCCCACACCCATCGCAGCTCAATCTATGTAGCCAGAAGGCTGACATGGACCATATGCACATAAGTCATGATTTTTGAAACTTTTTGTCAAACGTAAATGTGGATTTAGCTCTTATGCTTTAAAACATTTGTATTTCTCAGGCCGTCCCTACTTCGAAGGGTCAAGCCCTCGCGGATGAATATGGTATCAAGTTTTTTGAAACTGTAAGTGTCAAGAAAAATATCCTCCTTTTTTTTCTTTAAAAAAAGTTAGGAAAGCTCTTCTATATGTTCTAAGATGAATTCAATTGATAAATATTTAATATTACACTACTCTCGTTTCCATCCGTTCTTACATCTGATGGAATTCCCATGCAGAGCGCAAAAACAAATCTAAATGTGGAGCAAGTTTTCTTTTCAATTGCTAGAGACATTAAGCAGAAGCTTGCAGAATCTGATAACAAACATGAGGTATGCTTCCTTGATCATTACAGGACCACAATGGTCTTAAAATCCATGGTTGCTCTTCGTATTCTGCATTCCTGAAATTTGTCAATTTGTCAATCAACAGGAACGGACAATCAAGATCAACAAGCTAGACCAGTCCGCCGGTGACAGCATTGCTCCAGAGAGATCGGCCTACTGTGGTTCTTAAAAAAGTTAAGGATTGGAAGCGGTGCTTTTGGGCTGGTTGCTGTTTGATCTTATTTTGAACTAATATGAGAATTATAGTTAGTGATTTGGCTGATGCTTTGTATTTTAATCCGATCATTCTTTACGCTTGCTGATCCTGCGTGCAATGTTGTGCTTTGCTGTGCCGGGAAAATTGGTACTATATTGACCACTTCTATTGCTCTTTTCACTAAGCATGTTGCCCCCTTCTCCATTATGTTATGATTGCGTGTACGCATAGCTGAATCCTCTGTTGTTTCTCAACTTTTTTTTTTTTTTTTTTTTTTAAAATTTTTTTTTTTTTTTTGAGAAAATCATCCTTATGATACTTTGAGGGAAATCAACAGTAAATGCTATCTGTAATTTTATTTTTTTTTATTTTGTGCTAACATTTATGTTTATTAACATCTAGGGATTGCTTTGTTCATTTCTAGTTATCTATATTCATATGAGCTTGTGGTTGCCTTTTAGTTCCAATTTTTGAACCCATAGATAACTGATTTTTTAATAATATATTTCTTTTAAATTAAGATTTCGTTTGTGACAACTTTCTTACTGCTTCTTAAAGCATATTTTTATTATAAAAAAAATTAAAATTATTATACTTAAAAGCTGCTTTAAGAAGCGATAAGAAAGCCGTTCCTAAACGAAACCTGAATCTGATTCTCTCTCATGTTTAAATTTTTTTAATGCTATTTGACAAGTGGTAAGGGTTATTTGTGTAAAATCATCAATGATTCGTTTTCACTAAATAAATAATGGGTTTTAAAATTTTATGTAGAAAATAAACAGCTAACCCATCTTTTAAACAAAAATGACTGCCCCTGTGTTTATGCGAGGGTTTCTTGATGTTATGATATCATTGGAAGGGTTTGTGAAATTTTGATATGTTGAATAGTGCTCATTCTTAAATTTTATTATGACATTGTAATATTGTATTCCATTTTATGACAAAATTTAGTGATATTTTTAGGTTTGAAGAAATATATTAAAAAAAGATTAAATACAGTTATCATTATTTACAAAATAAGTTAAATTGTTCTTCTTAACTATAATATTTTGAAACTATTATTCGTTTAATAAAAGCCAAATTATATATATATTTTACTACAAATACAAATATGCTAACCTTTATAAGTGATGTTAGATAGAAAAGCTTATTTAACTTGCAAGCACACCTATACAAAAAATATAATAAATTATAATATTACCAACTTTTGATCATCATTGAATCTTATATATTTGTTGTGCTTAGAGTTTTTTTAAAATTAATAAATAATCTATGAAAATAGTAGTTTGAGAGGAATATCAGGGCTGAAATTTTATTTTTTTGTTGATTATTCAAGTCAGTAATAACGACCAAAAATATCATAAAATAGCAAGCAAGAAAAATAAAATGTTAAAAAAGCAAGAGATGATAATTTTGCTGAGATTGAACTCAATGTAGTCTATACTTAAGAGATGCTCCTCACTATATTTGATTTTCTTACTTGAGTAAAACTGTCCTTCATAACAAGTTGAACAAATGGGTAGAGGAATCAATGCACCATTTATTCAAAGGAGAATTATATATTCATCACAATAATGTATAAGGGCATCACTTTTAAATCTTCTCAATAAGGTTTGACTTAACAAAAATTTACAAGAAACTCAAAAATAAATTACTTAAAATGAAATAATCTCACAGTTTGATCTTAGATGAGCAAAGAATAAATAGCAAATCAAATTTTAAAATAGAGTCACAAAATAAGCTAGAACTTTTTCAAGATTTTCTTTAAAGATCCTATATTACAATGATTATAAATATATTCTTTTTTTTTCATATAGATTTTGATGAAAATAAATTAATTAAATATGCGTTTTAAAATTTTAAATATCTTGCATATCATTTTAGAAGTATCATAATGAAAATAAATAGGATATTATATCCCAAAAATGTTCTCACTTGTCTATAACACTTTATCAAATAATTTTTTTTTAAAAAATTTAGGGACGAGGGCATTTAATGGTATAAACGAGTTGAGTCGAATCAAGTTTTGACACTATCTAGTTTAGCTCATCAGTCTGAAGCTAGCTCGTGAGCCTCGGGCACGTGCTCCAACAGCCTAGTCATTGTCGAGCTCCATCCAGAGCTGTCTAGCGACCGTTAGTAGCACACGAGCTCGGTCATCCCGAGCTCCGCCGCATCTGCTGTCATCTTGAGCTCCTTTGAGCAACACGCATATTTCATTTTCCTGTCTCGATCACCTCCGTGAGATGCTTGACGAGCTGACGAGTCGAGAGAAGGTCTATTCGAGCTCGAGTTCGATAAGTCGTCGAGCTCGAAATTTTGTTCGAGCTTGACTCACGAGCTCAATAAGCTCGACTCGTTGAGCCTGTTACCTAGTCCAATTCGAGTCGGGTCATGAGTCAGCTTGACTCAGTTACACTCCTTAGAGCATTTGATCAAAATTTGGTTGAGAATTTATATTGAAATAAATATGATATAAAAATTATCTATTTATCTATATCTTATACTCATCTTAAAATAAGTTTAAAAAGATTAAATTATCTTAATAAAAAATTTTGATGACCCAATTCTTTCCACCAAAGAGGTTATAGTGTAATTAATAAAATTTTATGGGTATTTAGGTCAAAGAAGACGCCCATGTGATAAAGGTCAGTGTAAGGGTTGGCTCAATTTTCATTTCTACTGATCTAATGCTTCGACATCAGTCGGAGATCTGATCGGTAATAATCGTCCTTCCTCGGATCTCTCCGACATCAATCGCTCCTTCTAATTTCGGAGATCTCATCCGCAAGCGTATTCTGCTTTCTTCTAATGGTAATATCATTAACTTATATTCTCCTCTTGCTGCCGATCTGGATTAATCGAGATCAACATTCATCTTTTCCTGAATCATCCAAACTATGATTTGTAAACCCCAGCTTTTCTCTCTGTATTGTTTGAAATTTTGATGGGATCTTCTAAACAAGATTTGGCATCGAATTAGTTTCCTGGATCATTTTTTTTCTCTTGTTCTTCTCGAATTTTGTTGATTAATTCTTGTTTTATTTTAATGTTTCGATTAAGCTTACTTTGAAATTGTTGCTGGCGTGTTGATCTACTTGAAATTTCTCCTTATAGATCTTCTTGGTGCTAGATAGACCAAAGTGATAAACCTAGTGAAAAATATAAGCTCCTTGATTGAGATGGTTCTTAGCTTGAACGCTGTAATTTAGGTTTAGAAAGTAAATTAACTCGAAGTGAGATGTTTGGGAAAAAAACACATTATGTCTAAAAATCTATAAACTCGCTGTCATTCTATTTTTAAGCTCTAATGTCTTAATTAAGTTTTCATTACAGCATGAATAGCGTTGAAGTTGCATAATTCAGGCAGCAATAGCCTAGGAGGGGTCAAATCTTACTGAACTTTATTTCCTTTCACACCAAAAATATCTTCTTCTTTCCAAAACTTCTCTCAAGAAGTACCTTGAATCCAATGGTACTGAGGTGCAGGCTTGCTGAAGTAATCGTGTGAAATCCCCTCCACACTCCCTTGAAATCCCCTCCAAGGATCTTCTCCCTCTCTCAAACTCCACCCTTTCCTCTCTCTCTTTTTAGTTCTCTCTTCAAGTTTTCCCCAGAAAAATGAAGCTTCAAAGGATGCAAAAGACTCTTATAAAGTTTTATGAGAAATCTTAAATAGTGGGCTTCAAAAAATCCTAAAAAAAATCAATTCAAACCTCAAAGATCGTGTAGTACTATCTTAGGATCATCCGGTATAATGTGCAGAATTTAACCTGTTAGTATTGTACGATCACTAGTTAGTGTTGCACAAACAGTTCAATTTGCATGTTCGTAATGTACGATGTCCAGTTAGTATTGTACGAACAGTCCAATAAAAACACAGTTCATCCAGGACGAAGCATGGGATGGTATACACAAAGATCTCAAAATTATAAAGTTCACATATACAATTAGAAAGTCATATTCATAATAGAAATATCTTAAAATTCCCAATTTACATGAAAGTCGATTGTCAATATTGAGCTACTTTTCATATAATATTGTATATTTGTTTGACTACATCTGAATTCTTCATCTTGTTCATTCCGACGTCAAATCCTCAACACCTTCTCCAAACCTAGGAAACACTCAGTGATAGTACTTGTTGGCTTGGAATAACCATGACATACATGATTGGTAGACTCACTATGTTGGGTTCATAAAATGCCAAGGTTAAAACAATCTTTGTTGAATGCAGTTGATCACTTCTCCCTGATTTTATAGAGATCATTCAAACATTGATGACTTTGGCTATTTCCTTCTAAGATCATTTCAGTCCACTTTCTCCCAAATTCCTCCACAGAATCACACTACTTGAAACAATAAAAAAAATAAGTATTTTGACTCTGTTGTTGTTGTTAAAGCACTATACTTTTGAAGGAGCCTTCTTGTATAGATGTCATTGGCACAATCGATGCCGTGTATTAGGCAATGCAATCTCTATTATCCTGACCATGGCTTGGTCCTGATTAGTAAATATAATAATGGGATGTTTGTTATCCATAATTCTTAGAAATGTTCTAAATAGCCAGGTAAAAGAATCAATAGTCTCCTCAGATAAAAATACAACTCCTAATAGAACATTTTGCCAGTGATTATTCACTACGACAATTGGGGCACAAGCTAAGTTATATTTATTTAAACGATAACTTGTATCGAAAATAATTACGTCCTCAAAAAAGTCTAATCAATTCTACCAAAATCATCAACCCAGAAGAAATTCAACAAACCATCGTCTTCATCAGTTTGCACATCCCAGATAAACATGTTGTCATCAATTGTCCGTTCTTTAAACAACTTGATCAGTGAATTAGTGACTCCAGTCTCAATCTTGGCTCTTCTTTCCTTTTGGATGTAGTTGTATACATCCAGCTTGGTGAACCCCAGATTACAAAAACCTCCAACTTCATCAGATAGTTATGTAAATGAATCAACAGTTCTTATCCCTGCTTGTGACATGGATTTCAGAACAGATGCATTCTCATCACTAACGCTCCTAGATGACCTCAGTAAATGTTGATCATCTGGCACAGCCAGTTCGTGATTGTGACTCTCTATAGCTTTATTCACCCCCCAAATCCTATCTTGACTCACAAAAAATCTAACCATGGCTGGACATCCTGTTCTTGTACATGATTTTTGATATTTAACCTTTGTACCTATCTCAGTCTCCTTCTTGAATCCTACTTTAGAACAC